AGTAGAGAGATAGTCATAAGGGCAAAAACGTTATTTGGGGGGCGGTGATTAGTAAAAGGGGGGCGGTAAATAGTAATACCCAAAAAAAAATTGTACCAAAAAAAAAACATTGGACTTTTCGCTTTTTTCTATGTTCTTTTCACTTAGTCTGAACTTTTCTGGATACAACAAAGTGATTGGTGTAATGTAAAAACTGAAATTTCTTCTCTTCTGCCGACAAAAAACCTCGTCCCCACTCGCTCGCTTCGATAATATACGTCGGCCTTCCATTGTAGCAATCGAACTTTGCCGGCGGTGTCGGCCCTTGGTTTCCTGTCCCTTAATTTCTGCTCTGCTACTCGCGTTCCATGGAGTCGGGCTTCATCTGCTTCGGTTGGTCTTCGTCTTTTCCGGCACCGATTCGTCGATTCTTGATGGCGGCTTCTCTGTTATGTGGTGGTGGAGCCGTGGTGCTGTTTTGGGGGCGGGATGCATCTCAATTGCTCAGCGTCCTTTTCGTTTGGGTGATTGGGTTATGTTGTTTGTTTGAAGTCGTCTTCCCAAGTACTCGGTTTTTGGGTTGCAGGGGTCGTCGCATCCTTACTTCTGTCGCTGGTGTTGGTCGGAGTGATGATCCGGTGGTGAGGTGACTTTGGGCAACTCCCAAACGGTTTGGGGTTGGGGCTGGGGCCATGGCACTTCTGTCCGTTCAGGGCAATCCGGTGTTGTGGCCGTGGTGCGGGGTGGCTTGGTGTAGCTCCGGGGTTTGGGCTTCGACATTGTTAGGCAACCGAGTGGTTTGGGCAGTTTCGAGGTTGGTTCTTCTGGCTGCAGGACTCACAGTCGCCTTGTTTCCGTTGGTTCGGTTTGATGTCGCTATTTTGGAAGGGCTCATTTAGTTTTGTTGCTTTTCTTTTGTTTTGCTTGGTAGTTTCGTGCTTTTGTTTGTTTTAGGTTGTTTGGTCATTGTATTTTTGGTCTGGGCCTTTTGGCCTCTGTTCGCCTGATTGTCAAACTTATTATCCTGTTGGGATCCGACACTCAGGTATTCTACTGTTGGGAGCTTTTTAGTTTTTAGTTCTTAGTATTTGTTGTGTGCTTTTGGATTCTAGCATTGCTAGTGTCGGGATTCTAGGCGGTCGTCAGACCTGTCCTCCCATTTTATTCTCTCAATTGGAGCTTTGTACTTTTATTTGCACTTTGTGCGTTTTGATTTATAATAGTTCCTCTATCGTTCCGGGAAAAAAAAAAAGAAAAGATGGAAGCGGTGGTGAGGTCAATAGACAATAGCAAAAATAAATATACCTCTATCTTATGGATATTTACGCGTTGGTTAATGTTAGACCAATTAGATATTAATTATATAATATAAATTAAATATTATACTTTTGAAAAAAAAAACAAAATTAAAAAATATATCATTTGATGAGATAAGTTACATTTTTTAAGTATGATGGGTTTTTGAAGGAACAATTTTATTATTAATTCGCTATATTGGTCTCTATTGAGAAAATGTATTATATATTGTCAAACATCAAACTCTTACTACACTAATTTGTCAAACACATATTAAAATTTACACTAATCACGAAGGGCTGAATCAGTGCTGAATTATTAAAAAAATTAGAGATTATCTCCCAGATGACGTTATTCAACTCAATTATCAGCTTCTTACATTTGTTTTTACATTTTTCAAATTCTCCTCAATTACTAACTTTTCGTGTAAGTCCTAGAAATGTCGTCATCTAGGGAATGTTGTACCAAAAACACGTGAATGAGGTTTTCTACATTTTAAATCCCCAATGTTTATAAGAATGGAAATCTTCAAAGCAATGAGGCGGAGGATCGTGGGCCGTACCGAGATCAACAACCGAGAGAACCTGATGAAAAATGATAAGGACAACGAATTATATTAACTGATCGAGAATACGTTGATCGAAGACGAGAGCCATGAAATTAGTACACGAATCTACGATCGGGATGCAGAGGTAGACGATATTAACCATGAAAAATACAAAAATACATTCACTTTTTCTTTTTTGTACATAGTGGTAGAGATGTGGTGAACTTTTTGAACTTCATTCATGTAAGGAACAGGGGGGGATAACGGGTGCAGTCCCACGCACGTAAAGCGCACCATCAACAGGGAAAGCTCAGATGAAGCCCAAGAGAGGTTCTATCCCAAAATCAATTGGTGGAAAGAGGAGTAGCCCATAAGACTTATAAATTAGGTCTATTTTGTATATATAAACGATGTGGGACAACTCACAAGTGAATATTCTAATACGCTCCCTTACTTGTGAGTCCTTTTTGAAGAAAGCCCAAGCCCAAATACGGAGTCGGGTGCCCAAACCCTACTAGAAACAGGCTGGGTAAATGGGTACGTTATCGTACAGTCTTAATAAAACAGGCCTGATACCATGTAAAAAATAGGGGAAAAATGGGTGCGGTCCACGCAGATGAAGCACACTAAGACAGGGAAAGCCCAAGTGAGTTTCCATCCCAAAACCAATTGGGGGAAGAAGGAGTAGCTCATTAAACTTATAAACTAAGTCTATTTTCCCTATATTGGGAGAACTCACAAATGAATATTCTAATAATTCATGTAGTATAAATACTGATAGGTGATACGTGATACGTGACATTCAACTCAAAAGTTTTTATGAACAACTTCCATTTTGTCCCACTGGGCGTGTAAAAAATTTGTAACTACAAATTTTATGAAATGTCTTTGTAGTGAATGAGTCTCGAAAGCATGAATTTGGTTTGTACATGCAAATAGTTTAAACTCTTATCTAGGAGTTCTTCGACTTGAGTTTGTAGATAACTTAAACTCATATTAGTGATTTCTTCATTTTGACTTGATTTATAGATAGTTTAAACTCATATCAAGGAGTCTTGATTTGATTTGATAGATAGTTTATACTCGTATCAAGAAGTTCTTGATTTGACTTGGTAGATAGTTTACACTCATCTCAAGGAGTTCTTCATTGTCTATTCATAGACAGTTGAAACTCGTATCAAGGAATCTTGATTTGATTTGACAGATAGTTTATACTTGTATCAAGGAGATCTTGATATGTAGACATTTTATGCTCGTGTGAGGGAGCCTTCAAATTTGTAGAAATTTTATGCT